GTTTGTAGTTGCAGTTAAAGAAAACACATGAAAAGGCACGATTTTTTTTAAATTCGAAAAAATGTAAATATTTCAAAAACGGTGACTCTTTTACCTGAAAATTTTTTGTTTATCAGTGAGCTCACCCCCCCACCTACCTTGCCCTAAAGTTTGGCACGTTACTTCTGGGACACCCTGTATGTAGTACTTTTAGGGATTATGTAAAGTATGTATGTATATAAAGTGGTGTTGCCAGAGCATCTAGACGGAGAGCTCATGCCCAAAAACCCATCATTCTTCAGATCGATTGAAATTTTTTGTGAGCTTAGCTTGTTATCTATATATATAAATGTGAATGTCTGTTTGTTTATTACCTTATAACTTTTGAGCCACGACACGGAATTGCACGAAACTTGGCAGACTTATTTGTTTTTACCCCGGGAAGGTTATAAGTATGGTCTTATTTGAAAATATGTCGTAAATTTCGCAAGGGGGCGTGACACCGCCAATAGACCTGCAAATGTTTAATCAGCTAAAACTTCGGAACCATAAGTCGAAAGAATTTGCAATTTGGTGCGAAGGCATGTCTACGGGAGGCGCTTATTGTAACGTATATATAAACGAGAGCGTGGCACATGAACTTGAAATTTGGTATGCAAACATATCTATGGTAGGTGCTTATAGTAAGGTATATATAAATTAGTTTGTAAAAGGGGGCATAGCACATAACATGGGCGTGGAAGTTCTTATCAGCCATAACTTCGGAATCACAAATCACATGACCCCTTTAATTCCTTCTGGCGTGGGGTGAAACCCGCGGGTAAAAGCTAGTTTTCTATATATTTTAGTTAAAATTCTGTTCAAATTTCAAGTCATATGAAGTACGTTGTTGTTGTTGTGGTTACGAAGCTATGGCAAAAAATTCCAAGCTNTGTTTATGTGACTTATGGTTCCGAAGTTATAACTGGTAAAATATTCCACGCCTTTGGGATTTGCCGCCCCCTTCCACAGTCTTATTTATATATATACCTTACTATAAGCACCTACCGTAGATACCTGCATACCACATTTCAAGTTCATGTGACTTATGTTCCGAAGATATGACTGACTAAAAATTCCACGCCTATGTTATCTGCCACGCCTCCTTTTACAAACTCATTTACATATACCTTAAGATAAGCATCTACTATAGATATGTTTGCATACCAAATTTCAAGTTTATGTGACTTACGGTTCCGAAGTGAGAGCTGATTAAATAATTCAAGCCCATGGGAGGTGCCACGCCACCTTTTCCAATACCGCCAATTTTTTCCCATGAGTATGGAATTAATTTTATTTATCTCGACAGCAAGTTCCAATGCTCTACCACAAATATTTCAAGAGATATACAATATGAAAATTTTAGTAAGTATAGGAGGTGCCACGCCCTCTTTTCCAGCACTGCACATTTTTCTCTATGCCTATAACCTTCCCGGGGAAAAAGCAAATAAGTGTGCAAAGTTTCGTGCGATTCTGTGCCGCGGTTCAGAAGTTATAAGGTAATAAGCAAACAGACATTCACATTTATATATATAGGTGAATTCAAGTTTGCCTGCCAATTCTTATGGTCTTAAAGTTATTCCAGCCTATGTTGAAAATGCATTGTTGCCATGGCGTATGAGTTATCTATCAACATCAATATTTAGTCCGGTTATGCTTCCAAGCTTGTGCTCATTCACCTTGGTTTTTTCTTTATTTGCAGATTTTTGCGAATAGTTGAAAATTCGTACAATCTTTTACGGAAATAAAAACAGTATTGCTTTTGTTTACGTAATTAACTAAATAAAAAGAGAGAAATTTCTTAAAATTTTCAGCAGGCATTTCGGGAGGGGTTTGAACCCCCAAAACCCCTACCTGCGTTCGCCCCTGAATAAGACTAATGCAAAAAAAGGCTTTATTCTCTCAAAGAGTCACTAGACAGTTTTATGGCTGTTTGCGCAACTGATACGGAATATAAACAAATGTATGATTGCAAAGTCCAGGCAGTATCTTCTATTGCCCCCTTCATATCATTAATTGGAACCCTAGACGAGCCACAATCATTCATGATTGACTTTGACAACATCACTTACAAAGTTTTCAACTTCGCGAAAGCTGTGGATATATGCTTTAAAACATACATTGTTTTTAATATGGCCTACGCTGAGCCATGCGCTGCAATGTGGGACTTCATAAACAGGCAATTTTATCAGTTAACTATCAACGCCAAGCCCAAGCCAGGAATAAACGCACTGCTTAATGAAATTAAAAGTAAGTACATGTATGATTTTTCACTGAAACTTGTCTTTAAGACGCTTTATAATTTTCTTTTAATTTATAGTCGCAACGGAAACAAACCTCGAAGAAGCTACGAATCTGCCAAGTACCTCCACATAAAAATATAATGTATAAGAAAGTGTAAAACCATTAGTTTTTATCTTTTCATAATTTATATCTTAATTTTTGTTCGAGTTTCATAAATTATATTAATAAATCTTTAAATTAAATGAATAACAATAAATTTAATTGATGAATGAAGTCAATTTAAATTAATGAAACTAGATTTAAATTAAAGTTTGCGGTAATAACACTATGCATCGATATACTTTATTGAATGAAGGCTAAGCAGTAAGAAAAATACGTAGTATAGAACCTATTCGTACGCATATTAATAAAATACTTAATTTTAAATTGCTTAAACTTATTACTTACGATAGTTTTACTTGTAATATCTGCACTTCTTTCGTTGCACTATAACAACCGTAGCTCAAATGATAACAACACTTCCATTATATTTTAATCAATAATGTTAAGCGTTGTTGCAAAACATTTTGTTAAACAAAAACCTTCAAAATTTACGATAAAAATAGAATAAAAGTGTTGTGTTATAATTCGTACTATGTTTTTTACAGTGTGGAGAATTAAAACAATCGTACATTCTACATCTTGTCGGCCACTGTGGTGTAGTGGTAAGCAGTGCGCG